TATATGCTCGCCCATATGGTCTCTTTCCGGTGGCGAGGGTAAACAAACCCAAACACACACACACACAAACAGCATAGATAATTCACCTAAAACTTCACTTGTTCAAAAATCATATTTGGGCAACATTTAACCACTCAGAAACTGGACTTTCACATTTGCATGATCGTAAGTTACTAAAGTCAAAAAATAGATAAATACAGAATCCCTAAAGAAAGCCCAACACGGCAAAATTGAAAATGTTGCAGGCTCGGTTTGATTGAGCCTGTTCATGGACGGTACTGGAAAGTGCAAGTTACCGTCCACGCCCCCTAGCACCGGCTAAACAGAATTCAACATTTAACATGAACTGGTAAAATTTAGAATTTTGAAACATCCGCAGATGTGTTCATATGGCAGTTATCATGGAACCTTCAATGTGACACGGTAGTGCCATTCCATGAAAAAGGGCATATGGTCCCCAAGTAAAAAAATGCGTGTGCCCTAAACGAGAAAACAATGGGCGGAACTAAATAAAATGGAATTTTGAAAGGGGATCAGGGGTTATGAAGCCTGCGTATCACAGATAAGACGTCAAAAGACAAATTTAAAAAGCAGGCAACATATCCTAAGGGTGATTATACATTATTCAAGTAGGAATATTGGAACCACCCAACTAGAAAATGCCGAAAAGTTGAAACTAAAAATACCACAAGCACAACAATAATGTCGTGCTGAACGATCTTCAAGGATCGAAAATATAACATCATTGATTAAATGTACGGGGAGACTGAGTCTGTACATGAGGTATTATGAATAAGTGCAACATCCCTCAAGCCCCCTAGCGAGCGGTACTCTATTTATAACACTTAATAGTGCTGGTATCAATGATCGCGAAGGACCAGGATAATATAATAACACTGGAGTGAAGAACATTAATGAGCTGTGTATGAAAACATAGTAAAATGTTCCAAAACGAAATATTAAACGGTTATATATTTAGAAGGTTCATATATGAAGTCAGATAGCCAATCACAGATTTATACTATTTACTCACGCATTGAAACCATTATTATTTTCTTTGAAAGATACTAGGGTGGGTCAATAGTAAACAAAATGATTTTAAAATGACAAATAGCAGATATAAATTTTTCAATTTTCCCAAAAAATCCCAAGAAAAAACAAAGAGAAAAAGCAGGGGCCTTTTGAAACCCCAAAACCCAAAAAAACAAAAATGTTTTTAAGACTCCCCTTTCATGGGGGCCTTTCATGGGCGGAATGGAAAAGAAAAGGTTTTTAAATTAAAAACAAAACTGGTAAAATTTTTTAATTTAAAATATCCCCAATGTGTTTTATACGGCATTATTTTTGGAAAACCTTTAATGTGACACAGCAGGCCCTACCCCGGAAAGCGGTATTGGGCCCCAAGCAAAAGAAGCGCGAGATTTTTAAAGAGAAAAAATTGGGCAAAAAAAATTTAAAAGGAATTTTTACAGGGGATTAAAAAACAAAGTTTTTAAACGTTTAATTTTATTTTTTAAAATCTTTAGTAGTTCAAAGGTTTGCTTTCAAAAAACTAAAAATGGCCGGGGCCCTTTTACATAATATCATGTACCCGGGAAAATTTTTTTGTTAAAAAAGTCACAGGTTGCCAAAATTTAGGTTGTTACGTGCGAACTAGTTATTAACGCATTTTAATCCATTTTTTAAAAGTCTTTAGTATATTCGAAAGGTTTGCTTTTCAATAACTGAAATATGGCCGGCCTAACTACATTATACTCATGTACCTGGAAGATTCTTTTGTTAAAAGAGTCACAGGTTGCCAAAATTTAGGTTGTTACGTGCGAACTAGTTATTAACGCATGTCATTAGTATTTATGAAACAGTTTGATTTATTTATTTATTTAGGATCACGAAACATTAACGAACATGCTAAAAAGTACGTATCTATACATATCAATATGACCAAAGGTTCTACACGTCTAACAAAAAATTTTTAATTAGAATTTGAAATTACCACCAGATCTCGAGAGAATAGACTTTTACAATCATTACCCGCCAAACTCATAAACCGTGACAAACAAGTTTTATTGGTGATACCGGTGAGCGGCGTCGTCTCACATGGAATGCTTTTTTGCCTATGGAAGGAGCTGTTATTATAAGCAGTTAATGTCATGGTTTAATTATTTTTATTCTAAAAAATCAAGTAAACAAATATGTTGTTATATTTTTGTTTCATATGTTTATGTTAAAAGCATGTGAATCATTTTATTATTTTCATGAAATTGCAGGCTCAGTTAAACCAAAGTTATTCAACTTGACTAAGAATAATATCTGCTGTGGGATCAGAATAGTCATTCTAAGGATGCACCAACTAACACTGTAAAACAGATAAAGTTGCATTATTACATTTTCATTGATTCATAAGCTATGTTAAGCACATAAGCAATCGATCTAAGTTGTGCAGGTAAAGCAGTCAGGCCAAGAGTAACAGTACCTTTCAAAATAAAGGAAACAAGGACGATTTTGCCTACCTTTGATTGCATTGCCATTCTTTTCGTGATGCATACATGTAATCATGAGTGTATTACTGTCTATTTTACGTGTTTCTTATAACAATAAAAATTATAACATAATTTTTATGGTTTATTATTTATTATTAAAGCTAGCATGTCGAACGATAAATTTACCAAAACAACAATTATTTCTCTCACTGGAAGTGACGCAAAATCTTAATTTTCTATTTCTTTTATAAAAGATTTTCCATCAGCTTTGATTAACATTTGCCAAAACGGCACATTTTTCAATTTTCAGACAATAAATGTGCATTTCGCTTTTTTTTAACTGTATCTTTTTTATACAATCTGACACAAACCTCGATGGAGGAATTGACCAATTTATTGTATGACCTCAGTGCTTGGTAAAAGCATCTATTGCCTCTGTCCGAGGAACCAATCATCTAGAATTAAATCCTAAAAGTATTGTATTCAAGTTTTCGAAACGTTTTAATAAAAACATATACTTGGATAATAGCTTGTTTCATTTTCAAAGCGTGTGCCCTAAACGAGATAACAATAGGCGAAACTAAACAAAATGAATTGAAAGGGGGTCAGAGGTTATGAAGCCTGCATATCACTGATATGACGTCAAAGGACAAAGTTAAAAGCAGACAACATATCTTTAAGGTGATTCAACATTATTCAAGTAGGAATATTGAAACCACCCAAATTTAAAAGCCAAATAATTGACTAAAAACCAATCACAAACAAAACAATAATGTCGTATTGAATGATCGGAAATATAACATCTCTGCTGACATGTACGGTATTTAACAGCCTCTACACTACACAAACAACGCTGATGTGGCACAAACAACAGTGATTAACTCTCCTGCGCATAAGTCGAATAGTTCACTATCGTTTAACTTACTTACGAAGGTGTATTAACTGAGCTGCTAAGGGAGTGTACTCAATGTCAGACCTGATTATCTGATTCTAGGCTATAGGAAGCTATATTACTGTAATGTTTGGAACAATGACAATTCTGTGCTGTGAAGAATTTGAAACTTCCCTCTCCTTGGGACATGTAACCCCGATTTCAAGGATATCCTAAGGTCCTAAGTTTGAATCCACTCCCGAGGATATGATTTCATTCGAATGCAGAACCTTCGAGTTTATCGAATCAGAATTGTGTCTTAATGCGAAGAATGCTATTTTACCATTGGCAACTTTCGGTGGCTCAGAACAATTAACATATATTTAGTTGTTTATCTAACGTATATGGTGTAGTACTATTGTTTTACATAGCCACCATAACTGGGCTCACTTTATCATATCTGAACGGTATTCCATTTTTGTTAAGAAATTCTATATTTTGAAAACTAAAACCGTACTTGACATTTCGTTGTCTGTTATTACTACTTAAGCGTTTCAGCTCGCTCGTGAATACATTTGGATAAATATGTTTTAAGTAACCGTACCTTAAATCCTGAAACGCTTTGCATGGGAAATTAGTTTACTAGTTTTCTTACAAGTACCATACTATCTGGAGTTTTATGAATTAGAAACAACCCATAAAAATATATTTTTGTAGCCTTATATTTAATATATAAAATTATAAATGATAGAAATCAATGTCTAAAACGCGAAAAAGTCACTGCCATTTTTCGTCTGCAAAAAAAAAGCTTGCCTGGACTACTTCTCAAAAACTGCTGGTGCAATTTCATCCAAACTTTTCAGGAATGATTAGTACCAGATCTAGTTGTGCATATCATTGGCTTTTTATGGTTTAGTCAATTTTGTCAGAGTTATGGCCCTTTAATTATTTTTCATTTTTTAAAGTTTGTCCTGACTACTATTATTCAACTTAAGCAATTTCAATGAAACTTTACAGGGTTGATTGGTAGTGGTAGGACAAGTACTTGCGCATATTACGCTGGATTTCCGCTTGAATGATTTTTGGCCCATTTATTGCCCTTGAATGAAAAGGGTGTTGATTACGTTTTTCCGGACTACGCCTCATTAACCATGCCGCTTTTCGTAGAATGGCACTGACGTGTTACATGATAACCGCCGTATGAACTCATTTTCGGATGTTTCTAAATTTTAAAAAAAATCACCATTACCATGAATAAATGTTGAATTCTTCTTAAGCCCGTGCTAGAGGGCGTGGACGGTAAAATGCACTTTTCCCATTACGGTCCATGAACAGGCTTAATCAAACCGAGTCTGCAACATTTACAGTTTTGTTGTTCTTGTCATTCCCTATGAATTCTTTAATTCTCTCTAGTTTTTTTCCATTCACGATGTTGAAACGTAGAAAATCTCGTAAGAACTTATTTAAACAAGTAATACCCACAGAACAAAAATTCTTACGAACCGTGACAAGCATGTTTTATTGTATTATGTACGTAAGGCCAAACGTGCAAAAAATACAATGGAACAATAAGTACTTAAAATTCATATGACAATACATAATGACCAACCCAAATATTTAGCCGAATAATCTCAAAATTCTCACTTTAGATTGCATACCTGTTAAGACATATTTTGCTTTTATGTTTAGGGATGTACGTGGCCAAGTGGTTAAGGTCGTTGACTTCAAACCACTTGCCCGCCTTGTCATTGAACCACTCCGGCGACTTAAGATTGTGAGAATGCGTTGGTGCGACGTAAAACCCAACAACATGCATGTTTATACAAGAACATTGACTGTTCTAGGTGTTATGTTAAAAAGTGCTAATGTAACTGCAATATGATCATACTCTTCTAATGTTTCTTTAGCCTTCACGACCATGTCATCGACGTACGCCATTACTTTATCCAATCCTTTTTTGACTAGCAACTCTCTCTGCATATCAATAAAAACATTGGAAAATAAACGAGTTTACAAATTGTTATAAATTATCTTATTTCGAAAAGAAATGTATGATTTCGAAAAGAAAATATATAATGTTAAATTCAATATCGTTTTAACATCTTCAGTTCTGAATTTTCTTAAGTCTTCAAAACAATTTGTAAAAAAGACAGCTTTAATTCACAGTCAACCTTTTTCTTGATTCCAGTTTCAATGAGTGGAAGCATCGTATGAATCACATGCAAAGCTGTCCCTTGGTATTCCTTCACCAGACAGTAGGTCGTCAGATTTTGGTCTTGGGAATCATTTGCAGTCATGCCTACCTGCAATAATGTTGATAAACATCAAACAACTAATTCATTGAACGTTATGACAAATAATATAATTTCATTATTTTACTATGAGGCGAAAGTTTTGTGTTTTTGGTTGTTTTATTTTCAATATGCCGTTTAACAATTTATTCTGGAAAATCATTTGTCAAAAAGTAAATCAAACCTTTCAAACTGATTATCAACATTGTTTCCGTCCAATCACATTGCAGTATTTTTCAATTTTCTGATAAGTCTTACTTTTGTAAATGTGTACAGACTAAATTAAATTTATTAAATCAGGTCAGTCTAACCAGTCCAAATTATTTCAATTATGCATTAAATTAAGGATTAAGAGGTGTGGTTTGTACTCTGAAATGTAAATATGTAGGAACGGCATACATCAGGAATAATAAACTGCCATATAAACTTAAGCTGTTGTAAACATATACTTATGAATTTGCAATAAAACATTTACAATATTCCAATACAACATCAAAAAATTAAAAAAATAGTTTAATGCTGTTTTTTTTTCAGACTAAAACATCGATAGTGATTATTGATAGAGTAACATGCTTCAAGCCAAAACCATCATATCTGATATATTTTTAAAAATGTCGCATTGAAGCCGGATATATCAAATAAAGTCAAAGCTGATCGAACTAAAATATTTTGTATCAGTAAAAATTGTTCAACTGACCACCATGTGAACAGTTGTTACCGATACTGTTATATGAGATTGATGTGGGCTTCATTGAACGGCTCCTAAAATGTATACCTACTTTACTCGCAACGAAAGGATCATCACGCAGTGCCAAACGAGCAAGCTCGAGAAAATGTGCCGCTTGTTTTTGTGATGAAAGCAGCTCGTCCAACAAATCTGACTCAAACACTGCTGTCTCTTTCACACATTCTGTGTCCTTTAAACAGAAAAAAACATTAAGTCGATAAAAATAATTAAGAATTATTCTCTTTCAGCAAGATATGGGTATTGTCGTGCAAACATTAGTTTCGGAACCAGCTAGTAGATTTATCTTTAGAAAAAAAGGTTAAGAAACAAATAGCAAGCAAGGAAAGAAAAACAAATGAATAGTTAGAACAGCAATTCAAACAATCAACAATGCACTTCAATGCATAAAGATCATTTTAGCAAAAGAAAAATGAATGGTCACTAGAATTTGCTAGGCTTAACCATCATAAGCCTTCTAGCGTGGTCAGTTAGCCACATATTGTTTCAAATATGGTAAGATAAGTTAAAAACTGTTTAAATAACAACTTTTATTGATAAAAAGTTAATTTCACAGTTTCTTTAATTAACTCTGAAGAGCACTAAATTTGCTGGATTCAACAATAGAAGTCTGTTCCATGAAAATGTTACAAAATGCTCTTGTCACTATTTTTCGCGACTGTCAGGATTTAAAGCCAATATGCAAACTGAAAACAGCCTGTCATGGCTTCTTATACAGACTCTGAAATGGCCAGGAATTGACCAATCATAACATTCCATTAGCCCTGGCAGTCTGGCAGGAAAGACAGGAATTTCTTAAAATGGCAGTCATATTGACAGGAATTATTTAGAAAATGAATATATAAACAAAGTTAACTAATAACAAAATATGTAATAAACATTTGAATTACAAGCTTAACTTGATGCACTTAATATCTGGACCAAAAACAATCATGGTTATAGCTTAGAAAAATGAACTATTGATATAAAAAGATTCTTAGTGCCAGGAATTTGAATTTTCCCTTCAGACAAACTTAGAGGTCATACCGGTCATCAACATTATTATGAAATACGGCAATGCCATCTAATTATTTGGAATGTAACTTACATTTAAGGTAAATAAGGATTACATTCTTTGTTCTTATATGTAAAATGGTAAGTATTTTGTATTTGTATATGTTTATGAAAATAAATGCATTTAAAGTTTTAAATCAAGGTAGACAACTCTTGTCGGACATTTTGATGCCAGGATTAACAAAATAAGTAAATTAATCATTTCTTAAAGTATAACCCTCCTTATAGTGTCTTATATAGTCCTACAATCTCAAAATGTCCTATAATATGGTATTAATACATGCATTTAACAGAAAATTATTATAATTACTTGAAATCAACAAAAACATGAATGGTTGAGGAACGGTCAGGAATCCTGACAGGTAAGTGTAAAGTATTTTCTTGAATATTTTTTGTATCTCATTTGTAAATAAATGTCCTAGCTTAGGTTTCTTTATACTCAAAACCTAGAATTTGTTTAAAACTGATACCTGAGCTAACAAAGGTAAAGTAAATTATTTGAATAAGTCACTGTCTCTTACAATATTTGTACGTGGTTCGAAAAGGTGAACCAATATTTTGTCACCAGTAACATTGTTTGCAAATTGTCTTTGATTTGGAATTGCTTAGCGGTTTGTATTTATACTCTTTTTAGTCAATATATTGGGTGTCAATCTCGTGAACCTGTCATCACCTTCAATGATTTCCTTGCTTTTGCGACATCTTTCTTGCCTCTTACAGTTAATAGTCGTCAAGATTTTCCTGCATCTTTGATTTACTTTGTACAAGTCAAATGACTTACTAACTCATCAGACCACCCCCCACCCAATTAATTAATATCTGTTTGACCGAATTACCCTAGTTTGTCCGAACTTTATATAAGTTCTTATTTATTCAATATTATCAACATGTTTCACAACCATTAATACAGCAGTGGTCAACGACTTGCTATATCAATATTCATGAAATGTAGTGGTATTGCACTCTGTGGTACAATAAAACAAAATATATCGAACAATTGTGCTATATCTAACTGCACTTAACATACTCTATCAAATGTTAAAGCTAAATATAACAGAACGTGTATTGATAAATTTGGTAGGTTCGTGAATCTATCAAAACAAAATCTATATAGCACAAATATTATCGATCTACTTGTGAATAAGGGGAAATCCCCCGTCTTTCTATACTACTTTAATTGGTTACCTCACGCAATAATAAAGTCGTCGTTAAAGAAAAGTACCGGTAACACACCATGCACATGTAACACACAATAGGCGCAACAATTTATTTATTCTAAACATGTATTATAATAATAATAATAATAATAATAATAATAATAATAATAATAATATAATAATAATAATTATAATAATAATAATAATAATAATAATAATAAACAAAAAGGTATTTCATGAAATGAATTAAATAATTTTATGTTTGAACAATAACAAAGTGTTATTATAAAACGCCGCCTTCTTATTTCAATATTACAAAAGCTAAGTCTGTGATAGAATAGTCCCTATAATAAAAGAAGAGCAAATAAATAATAAGAACACTGTGTGAACATATTATAAATAAAAGATATTGAACAATTAGCCTGAAATTATGAGATTATAAAGCGAACATGCATTTTTACAAAAAAACTGGTACAAAACTTTTGGAAAGATAGTAAAACGAAACAAATTAATTTTCAAACACAATTAAATTGCGCAACTTTTCTGACTATTTCTCAAATTTTACGGTGCGTAAAATATGGGCTAAATTCGCCAAAAACTGGCATGGCAAAAAGAAAACGGCAGCTATTCTATATAAGTCTATATGAATCAGTTAGTACCCGGGGCGGGGCTAATTTTGATCTGAAGTAACCTTAATCTGAAACCTGTTCTGCACATTGTCTTATTATAAGTAATATCTCTGCCAAAAAGTTTTAATTTCTCTCTATCGGTTTAAAAGATACAGAGCGGACACAAAATTTTGAAATTGATACAAACTGACTCATTTTGACCTTGATATAATTATAATAATAATAATAATAATAATAATAATAATAATAATAATAATAATAATAATAAACAAAAAGGTATTCATGAAATGAATTAAATAATTTTATGTTTGAACAATAACAAAGTGTTATTATAAAACGCCGCCTTCTTATTTCAATATTACAAAAGCTAAGTCTGTGATAGAATAGTCCCTATAATAAAAGAAGAGCAAATAAATAATAAGAACACTGTGTGAACATATTATAAATAAAAGATATTGAACAATTAGCCTGAAATTATGAGATTATAAAGCGAACATGCATTTTTACAAAAAAAACTGGTACAAAACTTTTGGAAAGATAGTAAAACGAAACAAATTAATTTTCAAACAAAATTAAATTGCGCAACTTTTCTGACTATTTCTCAAATTTTACGGTGCGTAAAATATGGGCTAAATTCGCCAAAAACTGGCATGGCAAAAAGAAAACGGCAGCTATTCTATATAAGTCTATATAAGTCTATATGAATCAGTTAGTACCCGGGGCGGGGCTAATTTTGATCTGAAGTAACCTTAATCTGAAACCTGTTCTGCACATTGTCTTATTATAAGTAATATCTCTGCCAAAAAGTTTTAATTTCTCTCTATCGGTTTAAAAGATACAGAGCGGACACAAAATTTTGAAATTGATACAAACTGACTCAGTTTGACCTTGATATTGACCTAAGAAAGGTTGAAACTGCTCTGCACATCGTCTCATTATCGTTAACATATTTGTCAAGTAGTTTTAATTTCTTTCCACCGGTTCAAAAGGTACAGACCGTACACGAAACCTGTTAAAACAGACGGACGGACAGACGACCAGGTGCATAACAATATTTGATTGATTGATAGGGAAAGGTTGACAGTAAATGCCTCTGTGCCTTGAAAGTTGATGTGATACATCACAAAAACAATAAGGGTATTTACAAGTCATGACCATCCTCAACACTAACGCTAAAGACATGATCAAAGCGTACTTTAATTATTGATTGAACAAGCTTTTAGGAGTAAAGACATTTTTTTTCATATAAATTGTTATTGTTATTTCACTGCTTCAGGGGGACCTTACCTTTTTTAGATTTTTAACTTTAACCTTATTATCTAAGGGGCTATCTGCTCGTCATGACAAACCTCCACATATAAATTTAGGACAGGACTGTTTGCCAAAGTGTTCTCTACATATTATTCGGACAGGCATTCGGCACATTTGTCTTGCCAATAATGATCAAATTATCACAAAATAATCACCCTTTGATCATTAACCTACTTGGAATTCGTTTTAATGTATATAACAAGCAGCCGAGTGTATGTTTACTCAAGATTACACGGGGGAGACAAATAAGCACGGTGCGTGCATTGTTGTGGAAAACACGCACGCTTCTCGCGAACAATTGCTGATAGTGTTAGAATTAAATTTAGAAATGTGATTTTCCTTTTCATGAAAATAAAATGAAAAAAGTATTTTCCGTTCTCATCAAATAAACAAATAAAACGTTATTTGTTTGTATCTGTACTTGGATAGAATAAGAAGGATTAAAAGTCATAGTTTAAAAGTATTTTGTTTTTTTGTTTTTTTTTTTATAAAAGAAATTTTTCCGATGTTCAACGTTAAACAGTACTTGTTTAAATACAAAAACAAATACCTTTGAAATTAAGTCCTTCGAAGTCGCCATTTTAACAGAATTAATTTTGCGCACTGCGCACCCGGTATTGCGCTTCACTAATTATAGGCGGACTATTTTCCGACCGGTGTAGTTGTTTGATTTCAAGAATTTACGCTGTGTGTAGATTATGTTTGTATTTTGTATGTTCTACCCGATGTACAATTTTCATTCTAGGAATTTGTATTGTGCGTAAATTTTGTCCGTACTTTCATTTTCGTGTAAATTTCTTCTTAGAACGAATAATTCAGCCGTGAAAAAATGTCACAGGTATGTTATTATAAGAAAATGTTTTAATATCTAATTTAATTTATTTAGTTATTAATATATTTTATTTATTCTAGCAAGTTATGTTTCTTTATATTGTAAAACTCTATATTGGTCATTGATTTTTGTAAAGTTTAACATATAAAGTTGTTGAAAATGTTTTAGATTTTAATAAATAAATTATGCGTATACTGGTATGGGTATTCATATTTTATTTTAATTTATGCATTTTTCTGTTTTTCCTCTTTTTAATTTAAGTCCATCTAAAGTATTAAAATGAGGTTTGGTCTTCGTTTACCAATTTTTCAACATCCTTTTATTATTATAACTAGGGACGTTTCTCTATTATAAAGGAGCTGTACGCACCTAGAGTATCATGTTACAGTTTACTCATCATGCTACAGCAACGAATACAAAAATCAATACCCCAGTACTCTCGAGTACTCAGTTTCTCGGATGATTTCCAGTGATTTTAAAAGTTTATCTCACAGTATCAACACCGTCCGCATGCTACTTTCGTTTTCTATTTAAATTAATAGAATTTGTAACTATAAATAGGACAGCACGGTAGGCAAATAAATCAATTCAACAACATCACATTTTACAACGTTTTAATTAATGCAATATCAAGTTTAAAACAAAAATAACAGTTCATATATCTTTTTTCGTCTTAAAATAATATAAACTGATCGGCGGCAACAAAAATTTAAAAGGGGTCTAAATACTAGTTACCCTTATATTTACATTCATAATAGCAATCGGCCCTTTGTTGTTTTTAAAATAGTTACTTCCACTACAAACTGTTGCACAATAAAAGGTAATTGAATATCATAAGAGCTGGATGACATAAGCGACACAGGTGCGTGTCAAACTGTTGATCGCCTCGTTAAATTTATGATATCATTTTTGCACCTCTGTAAGGATGTTTTGATTGCATTTAACAGGTATTTATGAAGATACATGCATATCTCCGAATTTCTGAACTAATTGGACACACCAATCTTTCTAAATTGTAAAAAAAATATAAATTATATATTTTTTCCGAGTAATGAAATATCAGTTTTGTTAACCGATATTCGGACGTTCGATCGAGTACACGGTTTACCGGTTACTCGTTGCCTTCCCTTATTATAACATACCTTAAAGCCCGGTTGTATTCTTGATTAATTGATTTGTATATCGTTCTTATTGATATTATATGGAATCCACTGTGAATTTTATATGATGGGACTGGAAATATTTTCTGACATTTCTATACCAATTGATGATGTCTAGACAAATAACCTGTGTGTAAATTTTCAGATAATTCCCTTACATCGTTTTTCTAGAAACATCATTTTTATTGCCCAAAATGACTCCATTTAATTCTAAGCGTTTTTCTTTATTACCTTTGCAGATTTTTAAAGTGTGTCACATAATCTTATAATACGCGCCAAGAAGGATACACATATTGTTGAAAAATGGTTCAAGTCGGACGGTTTCACCGCAAGAAAAGAAGTTAAATCTTTTATAAACTATAGACAATAATTTCTTAATGCAAAATACAATTATAACAAGATCAAACTTTTACAAAAGTATAAGTATAATTTAAAGAAAAAAGTAATCTTAATATTTTAAGCGAATCTCAGTCGTGTCAATTTTGGAAAAGAATTAAAGAACAATACTCTAAATCTCAGTCAACAGCAGAACATATTGATATTGACGACTTGTATATATATTGATTTATATTTTTTTTAAAAGTTGATATTGTTCAGATATTCATTTAATAGATCAGGGACTATATGGTAATTATGATGAAGACCTTGATTGTAAAATAATTATGTCAGAAATAAAAAACGATCTATTCACAAAATGATTATACAGGTAGTGGTACTTATAAACTGATCGCGGAAATATACAAATTATTTCCATTGATTTCACTGATAATACTAGAATTATCTAACAACATTTTGAATCCAATTGTTCATGCCATTATAATAAAATGTGTCTTTTATATAATTTGTTTTAGGTCTTGTCCATAATACAATATCTTTTCGTGACCTAGATCTTAAGTTATATATTTTGTTGTCGGATAAAGTCATCAGTTCTGTCATATAAGTCGGTGCCATGTTATTTAAAGTTTTAAAAACAAGCACCGCCGTGTGGTATTTACATCTGTCAGGGAGCGGAAACCAGTTAAGAGCTTCGAATAGGTTCATTGACGGAGATCTTTGTGGTTGCTGTAAAATGATTTTAGCAATTCGTTTTTGTAATTAATTTTACAAACATTATTTATGTAGTTTGTGTTTCCTTTACCCCATATTATACAACAATAGTCCATAATGGGCAATATATATGCATTGTAAAACCATAATTTCATATCAAAGGGCAAAATATACGATTTTTTTTTTCAATCAGGCAATTTTTCCGTTAAGTTTTTTGCAAACATTGTCAATTTGCAAGTGCCATTTTAAGTTGTTATCTATGCAATTACCCAGGACTTAAGATACAATTTTCTCATAATATTTACTTTTTGTCTTGTTCCTATTACCATACATTTTGATTTATCTAGATTTAAGGCCATATTATTTATTTTGCACCATTTCTCAAAGTTATTTAAATGATCTTGAAGTTTTACTTCTACTTTTGATATATTTTCTCCGGACTTATAAAGAGTAGAATCGTCTGCGTATAAATCAATTTTTATATCATTACCAATAAAAGCTATGTCATTTATGTATATAAGAAATAATAAAGGTCCTAATTTTGAGCCTTGTGGAACACCGGAAATTATTTTCATTGTCTGATATTGAAGATCACCTATCTTAACCAGTTGTATTCTGTAAGAAAGATATGACTTGAAAAACTTAACGGCATTTTCATTAAAATGTTAAAGCTTAAGTTTATACAGAAGTATTTCGTGATCAACCAAATCAAAGGCTTTCTTTAAATCTAAGAATACAGTCTCGATAATATTTCCACTGTCAACATCTTTTAACCAAGTAAGAAAAGGTGCTAATAAACTAATGAGTGCAGTATAACAAAAATGATTTTTGCGAAATCCTTATTGTTTATAATGAATAATGTTGTATTTTCAAAGAATGAGTGTATTTGTTTGGCAATATGGCGCTCAAATATTTTGGATACAGTTGACAAAATTGATATCGGTCGATAAATATTTGCTTCATTCTTATCCCCCGATTTAAAAATAGGTATAACTCTAATTCTTTTTAAATCATCTGGGGAAAATATTAGCTTTAATACTATTATTGATAATTGATGCAATATTTGGTGATATATAATCTCCACAATATTTGATGATGTTTGGTCCAATTTCATCTAATCCTGTAGATTTTTTAATATTCAGTTTTTCAATAATAAGTTTTACTTCAAACGGTGTAATTAATTCATGATATATAAGCTTTTGGTCTAAAGTTTCTTTCAAGTTTGAACAATTTGTATTTGAAAACTTTGTTTTATGTATGACATTCGAGATATTGACAAAATACTTGTTTAATTCATTTATAATATTTACATTTCCGTAAATTTCTTTATTTTCTGTCACTAGTCTGTTTGGCATTGTAATACAACCTTTTTTATTTAGAGTTGAAACGTCCTTTTTTCATTAAAAATGCCGGATCTTTTTTATTTTCAATAGCATTGTTTAAGAAATCTTTTTTACTTTTTTTAATCATTGATGATATTTATTTCTGAGCAATTTGTATTGTTCATGTTTCCCTACTTTATTATACTTATCGCATTCATGTATAAAATATTTTATCTCATCAGTAAACCATTCCGGCCCTGCTTAGATGACAAGATATTGCAACTTTTTAATGTCAGTGGTTTTAGTTTATATACAAATACATGTATGCAAAAGAAACAGTGAATTTGTATATGCCTTACGTTATCACGATCAAACCGGTGGAAAATTCATTCGCTTCGAATCTGGTGACGCGCATTTTAGATGAAGTACGGAACGAAACATGGAATAAAATCATTTTGTCCCCGGAAAAATGTGTAGAAGGTTATTGTCTGTACCTTTACACTAGTTTACACTAAAACATCACGAATAATAGAGTAAAAAACGGAAACACTTTTCGGCTGCATCTGTCATCATGTTTGTTTGGATAACGAACGGCGTGATTCTCCCCCGTGAGGACATCAAAAATGAAAAAAAGCTTTTAAAAATATGCATTTGTCGAGTTAGTTTCTCGTGGGAGGAAACAACCTTACTACTTGAAGTGACCATTATGCCCATCCAAGGATATAAAGTAAGCGACTAGGTGAAAATCAAAATGTGATTACATTTTGCTAAAAATTTATTTCAATTGCATACATTACTTCGCACGAAGGATAAATAACTCGCATGGTCCAATTATCTGTCGGCATTTACCTGTAACGTTCAATTTATAAAAAGAGGGGGGCAGTCTTTTGATATCTTTGGCAGCAGATTCATATTTCATCCTAAACATTTTCCAATAGCAGTTGTTAGTCAAACACCATTAATACAGTGAATCGTATTGACCTAGAAATCATCAAAACAATCTTTCCCGACCAATTTCCAGAATACAATGTACATGAATCAAAACTGCAGCCACTAGAGTGTTAACAAGATTTTTGACCCGTGATGATCAATATTCGAATTTGACCTAGAAGTCTCAAAACAACCTTCCTGACCAAATTCCAGGATGTTTGGATCAAAACTGCAGTTACTAGAGTATTATCATTTTTTAACTCCTGTAACCTAGTTTTTGACACGAGATGACACATATTTAAACTTGACATAGAAATCATCAAAATAATTTTTCTGACCAATGTCCAGGATATTTGGATCAAAGATGCAGCCACTAGAGTGTTAATAATTTTTTTTCTATTTTAAGCTTCTGTGCCCTAGTTTTTTTACCCGGGATGACCCATATTCAAACTTGTTCTAGAGGTCATCAAAACAATCTTTTTGACCAATTTCCAGGATATTTGGACTGAAACAGTATCCCCTATAGTGTTAATAAGATTTTTCTATTTTTAGCTCCTGTGACCAGTTTTTCACCCGAGATGACCTATATTTGAACTTGACCTAGAAATTATCAAAACAACCTTTCTGATATATTTCCTGGATAGTTGGTGAAGAATGTTCACAAGTTTTTTCTATATTCAGGCTGTGTGACCTAGTTTTTAACCCGAGATGACTAATATTGAAACTTGACCTAGAAATCATCAGAACAACCTTCCTGACCAATTTCCAGAAGATTTGGATCGAAACTGCAACCACTATAGTGTTAACAAAACTTTTCTATTTTTAGCGCCTATAACCTAAATTTTGACCGGACATGATCCATATTAAAACTTGACCATTCTGACATAGTTTCATTATGATCCAATCAAAACTGCGATTACTAGAGTGTGAATAATCCAAATGTTGGCGACGCATGACGCACAAAGCACGACGACGGACGCCGGACATAGCCCCATCACTATACCTCACCTTGACCACTTCGTGGTCAGGTGAGCTAAAAAAATAATGATATGCTTTTGCCAGGCTAAATGTTCAAAATTGCATGCAAACTTGGCTTTTGAAGGGTGACAGATATTTAGTCATTTAATTGCTCGCAAGAAGTATACGTATGTGCCACACCACCAGGTTTTAAATCTATTCAACCACATACATGTATAATGTTTTAAAAGTATTTTATTTAATCTACATATCTGTAAATTTTATGTAAAGTGAATGCCGTATTCGTGAAATATGAGTTTGTCACAAAAGCAGTCAAATATCAATTCTTAAAATGATTGCGGTAGCTTTGCTTTTCATCATTGTTCTATGCGCTATTTTATTGAAATGATTTCTTACCTATTTAATATTCGATACGTTATTCCCTGCGGTCTGGAGACCGCAGGGTATTGGTACGCGTTTAACGTTTTGAGGCATGGAGGAGCACGTGACCTGTTTTCGGTACATGGAGGAGCATTTGATCTGTAAACCGTACACGATTGGTTAATTGACCTTTTCGAAAACCTGGCTAAATACCGTTTATCGGTACGTTACGGAATTACCTCTAGCGAATTAGTCAGAATTACACATATAAGAACAAAAAACTATTACGTGATATTTCTTATTTTCTATAATTAATTTACTGTTTAAGGTGGAAAAACTTGAATGATATATTCGAAAATTATCATTGTTTCTTTAATATATGTATCTCAAATTTTACAAACAATAAATGTTTTATACTGAAAATCTACAAAATTAAAATATTCGTAGTGGCATCTGCCATAATAAATAGAGATATTTTCTGCGTAAACTTGTATGTTTACTTTATTTTTTTGCTTGGAATTATTCATAAAATGGTAGCCTATTTAATCATTTTCGTAAAAAGAAATATTTGTTTCATGTTCAACGGTCACCAGTTTCCAAAGACCTTCTTCTATTTTGATCGATTATTGTCAACTATATTCCTGATACAAAAGTTTATTTATTCCCCTCTCCCAAAACAATGTTGAAAATAGTTAAATGAAATAGCTTTGTATCATTAAAAATGTTCCCCGCAGGAAACCATTTTACTTGTAGAAATATGGACGATTTCACAAAGGGATATCGCGTCAGTTAAATACCTCATTATAGAGATGAAATATTTATTAATAAGATATCAATGGGCATATGGAAAAAATCGATGTTGTATGAATATGCTACAATGTCTGTTTGCATTTATTTTGTGTTTGCTTAAAGAAACTATTTGTTTATTGCATTATTTCTACAGGCTGAGCTTGAATAGATATTTAAATTTGGTAAAGAGAACGAACGTGTTTAGCCTTGCTGACAAAAATGCAAGGCATTTAAAAAAGGTATAGCATTGGTTATTTTAATCTATTTTTGAAAGGTTTTTATATATTTTTGTCTTCATTTAACTTATCAATAAACCATGTTTGAATGCTTACATAATAATTATTGTGAAATCGGATTGCAATTCTTAAGAAACTTTGGGACAACATTGAACTTCAAATTTGTATACATCAATGCTATAGTCACGTACAAAACAAACAAGAAACAAACAAGATCACAACAGACTGAGAAAAATTCAATAACTTTTGTTATGAACAGCCTCCGGAATAAGTTTGCAAATCCGGAATTTTCGCAAACTCAACTACCCTTTTTAACATAGTTTCAATACAAAAACTTAAATCAAATAGTTATTTGGATAGAAATAGACGATTATTGACCGATTACACAAAGATAGCGCAATAATTAAACGCTGTGTGAGCGTTCAAAGTGTGACCTCCCATGGGGTTTTTCAATTCTCCCACGGGTTTTTACGTATCCCACTGGGACTTTAGTGGGGTTGAAACCCCATTTCTTAAAGTGGGAGAATAAAACCGTGGGAGAAAAATATTTTTTTTTTCTAAATATTTTTACAAGTGTTGAATATATAATACTTATAATAAACTTATAAGTATTCGAGGAATATATTTAAAGAATTTTGCAATTCTCCCATTGGCTGAACTAACCCATTTAGTAAATGGGAGAAATCTCCCAAAATTAAAATGGTGCGAAAACCTCCCAAAATTAAAATGGGAGAAATCTCCCATGATGGCTAACTTGGAGAAATACCCCATTAGAGCGTGATGGGAGAATAACATTATGGGAGAATTCATCATTATCTTTCTTTTTTTGTTTTACTTATTGGATCGGAAGTTTAACAGTAAAAAATGCGTTCCAGAATAAAAAAGGAAATTCCAGATGTCCTTTTTCCGGGGGTCGATCTGAAGCCACTTTTTCAGTAACAAATTTACATGCAGAGAGAAATACATGGTGATACTAGAGAGATAGGGGAATAATTCCCCTATCTTTTAAACCTCCGACGAAACGCATTGTACCTGTCCGTTCTGTGGATAATATTCCACGAGTTAATTTTCTAAGGACAGTGTTGGAAATCGTTGTTCGGAGTAATTTGATAAATACGCATAGAAGAATATTTCTCTTACTTTTTAATGGGTCAAAATAGCTGTCATTTATGCGGATTACAAAAGCATTTTAAATAAATAGCAGTCAGTCAATATATTTTAAATATGAAATAGAATGGTTAAAAATTAACGCAAACTGATTTGTTTTTGTTACATGTTTTCATAATTTTGTTCAAGAATACATAGTAGTGAAAAAATACATTCAATAATAATTCTCTTACGTATAAAAAATAATATAATATTGGCTATATAAAACTGATGATATTTATCTGTTAAATTTTTCATCGTATTCTTAAGATCATACATATATTTATAAAATAATCATACACGTTTGATTCTTTAAGTTAAATAGTTTATTAATTGTACAATTGTACATTTATGAATAATTTTTTATCCGTATAAGTTTTCTTTAACTGAAGTGTAACATATGTATCTTATTTCACTGGTGTCGTAACTACTGTCGTTAATATGCATATTAAAGATAAATAAGAAGAGAGCTGGTGAAATATTTATTTTCATATCACTCGATGAAATAAATCACGTAATTACATAAAAAAAACCTTTGTATCCCTTTTCATTATATTCTTAAATATCATTAATATAAATTCTGAAATATTGAGAAATATTGATGACATAAAAAATAGTTTATTTTCCTTGTTTTATTGAAAGGACTGCAGTGAAACATATTTCAGTTTTTCACTGGTGTCTTTTCGGACTACATTCTTCTTAACTCAGTCAAATTACAAAGTTAAAGGGAAAGTCATTCAAATTTTAGTGTCAAACGAAAGAAAAAGATGAATAATAAACAAAAAAAGTGAAGTTTATTTTCTATAAATACAGGATTGATTTCATATTGTGGCATGAAAAAGCTGATATTTCACTCGTCGCGAAATATCTATTTTCACCCAACAAGAACTTAAACATGGCCTTTTTATGCCCCATTTATCTCCTTTTTTGATTCATCTCCTTTTTTGAGCGAATCTTAAAAAAAGTATATTTATTCATTATTAGTACGATACATGTGTAATCTATTGTTCAAGATATATAGGTTAATTGCTTAAAATAAAACAACAACAAAAATGAATAAGCAAAACACAATGGCATGAATTTTGTCAGGCAATAAATAGCATTATCCTTCACATCAAATAGTCTAGGTATAGTATGATATCTTGTTGATTTCTTCTATAAGTCTGTTTCTTCACATTAATGATCCTTTATCTGAAAAAAAAAGTATTGAAACAACATTAAACTGTTTTATAATAACTTGGTATTACCTTCATCATTATTATTAGTTTTAGTGGTCACAAGAAAATTTAATCAATAAGAAAATAACTCTCATTAGATGATTTCATAGCTTATATCTTTCATTCATATAATATATACGGATTGTATAATACATATTTTCTTCACATTTTCCCTGTCTTAAAGTAGTTTTTATATATCTTTTCTGCACTATAATGAATCGATTATAAGAACAAATTTCACAACACGCTGTTATAGCATAATATAAAGCAAAGTAGTAAGGAAATAACCCCGCTTTTTTTAATATTTCTAGCCAATAAACCAGAAAGATCCATTACAGCTGAGATAAGAGTGGACTCATGCCACAGGCGGTCAACTGCGAAATCATTCATTGTTAATCGGCAACCTGAAGTTCATGACCTCGTTTGAATTGTTTACATGTGGCTGCAATTTGTATCATTTCAACATGGCATATAAAAATACGAGTTCAGGCGTATTGATATATTATTTTCTTCAAATGTTTCATTATAGATACAAACAAAAGACAGACAGACAGACAGAAAACTTTATTTTCACTCAAGGTATTACAAATACAACATGAGGATGTATGCAAATAACACAAATTAAGCAATATATGGTTCCGGTAGAGATCAGCAATAAAAAAAAGGGGGGAAAAAATAAAATAGAAAAACAATTATTTATGCATTCAGTATCATATATCATATATCATGCATAAAAACGCATTTAGATAAATTTTATTCTAAATATTTTAATGATATCGTTATAATTATTTCATTCGTTATAATTATTTCATTCGTATGTATTTGATTTAGGGGTATAATATCGATTTTATACAATCTGCACATATAAAGAATATGTTTCCAAATTATGTTCAATTTTTAAACAAATGATACCGATTTTTGCTCATTTTTTTAATTTCTTCCTCCAAAAGAAAGTGCAATTCGTTTTCTTTATTGGTCTCAATATAATCGATAATCGACAGAGAAGTGATATACAAATATACATTATTTATTAACCGCGACGCTTTAAGATGTTCACATTATATTCTTAATTTTATTACAAATACTAGTACAAATATAATCACCGCACTACAAGTAAAGATAAATATTATTTCATCTTAACTGAAAAATTGAAATAAATACCTTGGATTTGCATCTGATAATCACATAATCTTTCGCTCAATTAAAGTGCAATCCTTTTGATTATAAAATAATAACACCCTACCACATTCTAACAAATTTATATATTGTACTTCTGTACACCAATTTTTCAATGGCGGGGAGATAGCGTTAAAGCCCGTTAAATTCGTTCCAGATAGTAAATAACCCGTCAGGAAAGTTTCATTAGCTCATTATACAAGTTACACCTAAGTGATTATACGAGACTATTACCGCGCTGGACGTAAAGGTAGCGATTCCATCTAACATAAGAACATAAGAATAGTTCAATGATTGTGGTAGGAACGGAATAATGGGTATTTAACAAGAACTTTTTGCAAAGATCATGTATCTATGTGTATATTTTACGGAACTCTTATTTCTGTTTTTTAAAAATGTTTTTATTTAGTTAACATACAAAACAAGTCGCTATGAGATAAATAGCATTTTTTCTAGATTTCTAAAAAATGATGCAAACTGACCCTCCGCGAGAAATAGCTAAAGAAAATACACGCATGTACCGCCGTTTTTACATTCATAGCTTTAATAAAATATACAAATGTACTAGTAACGTTAACCATGAAACAGAGCAACCCGTTTAACTGTCCGCATGTATAACTATTTGACGAATAAGATCAAACAATATACAGTACATAGTAGAGTGAAACCAACAACGTGTTGCGCATTACAAAAAATACGAGTGGTACAAACAAATTCCTGATTAATACTAGTACAGGGTCCAGGAGAGGTTAAACTGGAATATTGAATTTTGTATCAAAAATAGTAATCACTCCCATTTCGAACTCACTGGGACAATTTTAGAAGCATGCTAAGGCAGCACTGGAACACGTTGTTTTATGGGTGTGCGATCACGTGTTTCAATGTATATTGCATTTGATACAGCTTTTCGGAATTTGTAGATGCTTATGATAGATACTTAAATGCGACCGAAAAATTGAGCCTTAATAGAATTATATAACATTTCCATTTTTATGGAACCAATGAGTGACCTCTGCTTTTGACTTAAGTTGTAAACAAGAAATGTTGTTGGACGTTATTAGCATACCTAGCACATAATTTAAATAGTTTAAAACCAATATGCAGCCTGCAATGAAAATACAACTGCGTCGTATCATATTTTATTTTCAACTGCGTCGTATCATTTCGTAAAAATCATTATTTTCTTGGAATATAAACATCTCTTTTTAATGAAAATTTAGTAAATGATGCAAAATTATGTTTTGAAGTTTATGGTGAACTCTGAAAACGAGTATATAATTGATTTGAAGGAGAAACGATAGATAAAGCAATATGAACTGCGATGGAACTGCGTCGTATCCACACAATTTCATAAAAATTCTGCTCCGCTTCGAGTTGCAAGTTCGCTATAACTTTTGTTTTACAAAATAGTTGTGTAAGCAACATATACCGAACGAAGCGGAAAATAGTGTAGCGTGTTAATACATATATCTGGTTTTCAGTCATTTCCAACAAAAATAGTTATAAACAAAAACATACATATTTCGTTCCAAGATGGCGGCGTTTGTTTACATTTTGTAGGATACGACGCAGTTTTGATTCCCAGCCCTGACAATGGTGCAGAAGTAATTAAGATTGAAATTATTTTAATTTTATATATCAATTTAAAGCTATTAAATCGGTATATTACATTATTAATAAAGTTACAAGATATACTGACATATTGACATATCGAGTAAGTTAGTTTATTATACCAAAAGTAAATTGATTTCTACAAATGGAAATAATTAGTTTTGTAGTGGGTACAAAACATTTATCCTGGCTGTAGCACAATGCATTGAAAAATAAAAACGTTTCAATAAATCCACAATTTTTGCCATTACCTATTCATAATCACATTATAAACATATAATAAGGTCCCAGAATATCCAAAAGATATGACATTTTGTAGTTTATAACATATAGCGTCAATAAAAACGCAGCCGTAAAAATGCAAGTGTAATGAGTAAACACAATACAGTGAACGTTGAGAAAACGAGGCGCTGTGAATATCGGAACTCTTTAAATACCGGACAATTAATTTAGTCATTCGTTAAACGATTGCATGAAACATTGACAATACCGGAATCTGTAAAAACCGAGAATTGGACGGTTGAAAGGGGAAGATTAACAGTATGAAGTCAATTATATAGATAATTACCCTGACACAGGGTCTTTCTATTTGAAAGACCCTGCCTGACAATACCGGACATCGAAGGTGTGAATAACCTTGCAATTGTCAATTGGTTGTGTGTAAATCGCTAACTGAGCGGTAACGAAATAGTAATTGTCTGATTTGTTTATTATGTCATTTTTCACAGTTTGATTTACTTTGATTTATATTTCTTTCTTTAAAACATTAAAAATGTGTATTATTTTTTTATATTTCTGTTTAAATAATGACTAAATGACTATTGATACTGCATTATCTTTTCAGAACTTTACAACCTGATCATATATATTGTAAAATATTATTTTGTAAACCCCTCATGTATTTTATTAATACCTGGTTAAATAAAGATATTTGAATTGAATTGAATTGAATTGTTTATTATGTCTCTTTTCACAGTTTGATTTACTGTAAAGCATATATGTTACCGTTTAATAGTTATGCCTAAATGCGCAGGTAAAATCGGTATGAATAAAAACACAGATTTTTTTTATAATGCGTTGCTTTTGTATATTAATTTCCGTATGTAGAAATTTATTGACTATTTGTGTAATAAACAAACTTACTCGGTCCATCAATATGCCAGTTTATTTGGTAACTTTATAAATGTACTAATTAAATAGTTCTAAATTGACATAAAATTAAATAGACAGGAAGCTTTTTTTAGGTAAATGGTGGACTTCGCAGGCATCTTAGCGAGAAACTGATAACGATCGCTGATTGGCTTATCTCCGTGACCCCTGTCAGCTTGATTGACAGGCGGCGTTATGTCAATTTTCAATGACTGCATGTTTATATTTTGATACAAAATAACTACATGTATGGCTTTATGCTACGCACGCCTTACGGCACACTTGTTTTTCATCCCTTATTACTTAATCGCTACGTCTTAAAAATCTGAATGACACCGATTAGATTACCATTTGAGCATATTACCGTTTAATCTTATAAATAATGTTTATTTTTGTTTGTTTGTTTTGAAAAATTTTCAGTAATAATTTTTCATCCGACGATGATAACAATAGAAAAATGAAACAATTTCCATAATTGGAATTGGTTGGTTTTATCCATTATATGAACAATATTAAAAATTTGTTTTCTATAAGGTTATTATTACAACTAAACGAAGTGATCAAAATATTGTTTGTATTTCGAAAAAAAAATCTTACCGCGGTATTTATATTTATTGAATTCAAATAAGTTATATACTTCAAAACCAGGAGAGCCTTGCCATTTAGCTTGTGAAACTATTTGAATGTCAAAATAGACTGGACGAGACAGAAAATACAGATAGCAGACCGGCGAAGAGTACATCAAAGCATTTTGGATTGTTTTATATTTAAATGAATTTTGGTGATTAAATCGTTACATATGATACCTTATCACACACCCGTGCCGATTTTGCGACTCCGTAAATATGGTATTGCACGGCCGTGCATATATTTTGACGTGACGTCATTAGTGTTATATACAAACATAGTGTAAGACGCGCTAAATGTTAGCGTTTAACTATAGGCGCGTCAATGAAAAATGACTCTTATTTCACTTTAAACGGTCAGCATTAATACTATTATCATCAATATTATAAATTATTATAATTATTATTATTATCATTATTTTTTTATTATTATTATAGTTATTATGATGATTTTTATTATTATTATTATTATTATTATTATTTTTATCATTATTTTTTTTTATTACTATTACTATTATTATTATTATTATTATAAATTATTATTATTTCTTCTTCTTCTTATTTTTAGCATTATTTTAATCATAATTATCATAATTATTATTATCATCGATATTATTATTAATTAATTTTATTATAATTATTTTTATTATCATATTATTATTATTATTATTATTATTATTATTAGTTATGTATATTATAATTATTATTTATCTATTATTATTATTTATTATTATTATTATTATTACTATTATCACTATTTATTTCTTATTATGATTATTATAATTATTATTATTTTTATTATTTTTGTTATTAGATCTATTATTTATATATTATTATTATCATTATTATTTTGTTGCATATTCCCTGTCATTTTATTTGATTTTTGGATTTTATTTTATTCATATATTTTGTATTATATGTTATAAGCGCCACACCTAAAAGATAGAACACTCTCCCATTTGCAAGGAATGGGAATTATCTCCCATTATAAGAAATTGGATTTTATCCCATTTATTAAAATGGGATTTTCTTCCCATTATCAAGATGGGTGATTTCATCCATGGGTGCGTTTCACCCATAATGAAAATGGGAGATTCTGAACATATTTATATTTCTATCTATATTTTTAGGAAGGAATATCTAAAGTCAAGATTAGTGATTTTTTTCTAAAAATAATGGTATATAATTTTTTTTAATTCTCCCATGAATTTTTTCTCCCATTCTCGTAAAGAGGAAATGAAACCCCACAAAACTCCCACTGGGAGACCAAATCCCCAGTGGGGGAATCGAAAAACCCCATGGGACGGCCAACTTTGAATGTCTCCCCTGCATTTAATTTTAAGGGTATCGTCATTTCAAAGGCCAGGTTTTACTTGACTCTATCTCTATTATTGACAGGTCTTTAAATTTTTTCTCTAATCAATTTAAAAAAGGTAGCTGAGTTTGCGAAAATTCCGGATTTGCAAACTTATTCCGGAGGCTGTTTATACATTGTAAACATACTTACGGAAGCCCTGGAGGGACATTTATTATTTAAAAATTATTACTTATTACATATTCTTTATAACTTATCACTTATAATTTACGCCTTGTTCCCGCCCGATGACGTTTTTCTTCAGAATCAAAGAACTTAAAAAAGACGGAAAAAGTTAATGTCGCCAAACAAATATTAGTTATTGACAAAATGGTGTAAAAATATGAAAATAAATAATTTAAGTTTAACACAGCAATGTGCTTACAAAATATGTATAAAATTGGGTACGAGTGGGAGCATTTTCCATTTTCATACAAAAATTAAGAAAAACTAACTCTAAATAATAATATATGAAACTAATGTAGAAAAAATGTGTAAA